TTTATCATTGACTTGAGACAGTTGTGTGACAGTCACAATCTAAGTACAGAATAAATCTTCAACTTTGACCAGAGACATGTGTGTGAGAGAGTTGCTTTTTCTCCTGATTTCTCATATTTGGATTTCATAATGAAAAAAATCAATGACCGCACTAGGAATGTGCATCCCATCAGGGTCAACAAGTGGCATAGCTAGGGATAATGCTGTAATGGGTGGGTCAAGAATTATGCCAACTCCCTCCCCCCTCCCCATTTAACGTAAAAAAAAAACTGCAGTTGGCAGGAAAAAATGCCATCTCTTCTCTCCATTTCAAAATAAGAGTGCCACCCGAGGCGGCACCCCCGCTCTCCACTCCCCCACCCCTCTTCACTGCCCTGTCCCTATGCAACTTGGCTCCCCCCCCCACCCTTGATCATTATCTAAAATAGTCTAGACTAAATTGTCAACAACAATTTATTTTGTCTTGAACAAACGAATTCATTTGTAATAATATTTTATTGCAAACGGAAAAATTGCTTTTGCTAAATAAACAAGTAAACATGAAGAAATTGTGTACCCTATCAAAAGACAATTGGAGATAACTCTGTGGCAGGGGTTTGTACAGTTTATTAAAGAAGATATTTTAACACTGTTCTTGCAAGAGAGAGCTTGATGAAATCAACGTTGTGAAGATTGCATGTCGTGTATCTTCCAAGTTGCTTTCTCATTTGTATTCTGTACAACAAGCACACCATTTGCAATGCCTGATTACAGTCTTGGTTAACACTGGAACAAAGCCCTTGTTACCACTCACAACACTATGAAGGATGGTATTGTTGTTGTTAAAATTTTGTCATTGTGCATTCGTTGTAACATTTGCACATTCAAATAAATGTCACCAATATTTTATAATTACGATTCATGACAAAATATTCACATGCACAAAAAAGTCCACACAAAAATTAATGCATAAATATTTGTATATTTGTATATTAGTTAACAAGTTTTTTGTGTTTTTTTTTTAAATTGGTCCCAACACAAGACCCAAGAATATTTTTTTTGCACAATTTATAACAAATTTAATTAAATAGTAACATATGTCATGAAAGTTAATCACAAAGACCTTTGTTTCATCTAAATTATATATATATATATATATATATATATATATATATATATATAATAAATATATATATATATATATATTTATATATATATATATATATTATAATAAATATATATATATATATAATTATATATATATATATATATAAAGGTGAATGATTGACTTTTTATGAATTTTTAAAAATTTATTTTTTGCACCAATTAACATTGCCATTTTCATCTATACAAACAAAAAACACAACAAACATTTACTATAATTTCCTGAGACAAAGGATACATTCACATATTTTGCTCTAGTTTATGGTGACTTGTAAAGAATGAAACATATAAGGGTTAAAAATGAAAGAAAGTTCTAGTAAAATTGCAATATGTTTGTGTTTTTCTTGTTTTTGTTTTGTGTTAAGCATGTCAAGTAAGGTGTGAAGTGTGGATAAGTTTTCAAAATGTTGAGCGATCCTTTCATTTTTATCCAAAAAAAAAATTATTTTTAACTTCTTCATGTGAGAAAACCATTCACAATTTTAGAGGCACCAACCTCAAAACATTTGTTAGGACTACCAGCTGCTGTTTTTAACTGCTGTGCTAGATACTACACCCATATTAATAAAGATAGGCTAATTTTTTTGTAGATGATCTTTGATGCAGCAATCATTTTACTAAATGTAAACATGAAGCTTGATTAATCACAGAAGGTTAAAGTCCAAAAAATGAGAAAATTTCAAGGCAATATCATCTAACTGCAGGTTTCAAAACGAAGAAAGACCATTTTACTGTATGATAACAATGATTATAATCATTTTAAAGAAGTGTACAAGCAGTGTCAACTAAGGCTAGATTACTCATTACTTGGCTCAGTAGCTTGACTAAAACTGAATATATATGTCTATGAAGCAAAACATTTTATTAAAAAAAATATTTTGGAATGGTTTTTAGACAAGAAATTTGACATTTCTGTTTAAGAAAATAAAATCATTTGTATTGAGTTTTACATTTAAAAAAATAACAATTTCTTTGGATGCTGCCCAAAATATTAATGAGAGATATTAAAATAAAATGTTAATTTATGTTTTCATTAGTTAAGTATTAATCAATTTAAAAACTATTCATCTAGCATAAACTGCTGTAAACATTACATGAATATCAAGTGCTTCACACATAAGTAATTTGTTTTATCAAATAAGGCTTTGATTTTACTAACACCTTGCAGACAAGGTTTAAGATAGAGGGGCAAAAACATCACAACAAAATTAGGCCTCCACAATTTAAATCCAGACTATTTCCAGAAATGTTGATCCATAATATGTTCTTAGGTGTAATAATATTGTCATTCTTAAATGAATTATTGTTTACCGTGACAACAAACTTTTCTCTGAACTGTCAGCACTACAAAACCTCAAGCCTGAAATCATTCAATGGCTTAACATTTACTAACAAACACATTGAACCACTTTGGACATCAAACAAATAAAATCTCTAAGAGTGGAATTATTAATTTTTTTAAAGTTAACTTCAATCAGCACTTAATACTTTTGCTAGATCCTGCATTTAACAAAAAATCGACTCTGGTAAACAACAGCTCCCGTTTAAGCATGAAAAGTTTGGAAATAACAATTGTCTTTTAATGATTTTTAATTAAAAATAGCTATAAGCAATAATAAAAATGATTTGAGAAATGCTAGAATCCAGTTTCACTTCTCAAGTTGTGAAGACCCCATATTTCCTGTTCACAATTTTTCAAAAATGTTTAATAAAAAATCCTAGTTGATTTTTTCCATTACTAATGTTGATAATATGAGAATCTTAAATAACTTGAGTGTTCAGATCAGTCATATATATTTTTTTATTCTTGTAACAAGACTAGATTACATAATTTCTTGAAAATAAATGTTAGAGAAAATCTTAAAATAGAAATAACCCAATTTGTGCTGGATTTTAACAATTACATTGTAAAGGGAGTAAAATTGTATATTTTGAAAGTGATTTGTAGATAGTATAATATATATATTACAAGTGGTGAACAATATAAATATCTGACACAATAATATGGTAAAATACATGTTTTAAAGGCAAAAAAGGCAAACAAAACAGTTACATAAAGGGGGAAAAACACAGAAATTATCATTTAGGTTTAATATGCTTGCTTACGATTATGCAAATGCAGGACCACCTTCATTTCACCATGTATGTGATATTTTACTGTGCATGAGTTCTTAGACAGAACAAGTAACAAAATCCCAGATCGTACAGTGCCCTAAGGGACAGGATATGAAGAAAACTCAGACTACGGCTGACGGTTGGGAAATACCTAAGGTTCCTAAGTTCGTTTTAAGAAGAAAAACGAAAGGTGATTTCAGTACCACTCTTTCTGTTTACAAGCCAACCGATTTTTTCACAGTTAATCTATTTCATAGATCAGATATAGAATAATATAATGTGGTTTTATTACAATATTGCTTATTCATTTTATGCATCATTAAATAATTTATTTTCTTTCAACCTCCTACATTAAAGGTTTGCAACATTTTTATAAGACAATAACTTTAAAACTACTGGCTACCCCCACACATGCATAATTCATCATATTGATCTACCACCACAGTTTTATTCCTGACCAAAATACCTTTTGCATTTCATTTATTGGTTTCCTGTTGAAACAACTTTTTTATTAATGACTCTTAAAATATATAACTCAGAGTGATTGTTAAGAAATTAAATCACACCTTAAATTATTAAACAGTACAATGTAAATATATATGTTCAAATAATGCAAAAAATTCAAACATCAATTTCAAAATCATCAATTTCAAAATCATCAATTTCAAAATCATCAATTTCAAAATCATCAATTTCAAAATCGTCAATTTCCACCATTCTGACAGGTTATTTCTGGAATGAACCTGTCAGAACAAAGTCTACTATATCCCAGCTGTGTAATGAGCTTAGCCAGCTCCTTAGTTTAAGGAAACCAGCTACACCATATAGGAAATGGGTCAATAATGAAAATCAAAGCTTTCCTAAAATCTTTTCGCTGGGGCCCAGTAAAGCACTGTGAAATGTTTTGTACAAATTGAATTTACATACATATTTAGAAATATTTACATTTTTCTAAGCTTGAAACATTACACGAAAATACATTTTCAGAAAATATTTTCTTTCTCTAAGTAAGGACACAGAGATGCTGCTGAGTAAAAAAAAAAACATATTTTATAAAAAAAAAAGCTCCCCCTTTATTGCTATAATGAATGGCAATGGATAATCCTCTTAAAATAAGCAGCAATATGCCCCAAGGTAACAGATTGCTCATGTGTTGTTTTGTTAAAATATTTCTTTCCATATAGTTTATTTATTTTTTTACAATTCAAATTTCACTTGTCATTGAGGATCAGATATCAATAACAAATAAGATGCATCCTATCTAAACACAAAATATATTTGGTTGGCTTTTGACTTTTGTGGAAGAAACAACATAAAGGTCTCACTAAGTTTGGCTCCCTTTTTATCAAGTAACTTTTAAACCTAACAAGTGAACCCAAAAAAATGATTTATGAGATTGCAATGAGCAATGAGTTAACAAAGTTAATTCCATGTGCGAAGAATGTATATCACACTTTCTGATTTTAAAAAACAACAACTAGAAAGCAGCTGAGCTCAGCTAACATAAGTTTTTTACAAATTAAACACATCAAACGACATGGGTATGCTTTACAAACGCTAATGCTATTTTCTCACTAACAAAAGGGTGGGGGGGGGGAAATCCCACTTAAAATACATTTAATTATATATTAAGTAATTTTTCGTTGTCAGTTGTCACAGTTAAAAGAGCAGAGGTTACCGCCACTTACTTCAAGTAATATAGATCTTCACACTATAACTAAGTTTTTTTTTGTGGGGTGGTTGGGGTTTGCCTTGATTTTTATTTCTCAATCCTGTGGTGTGTGTGAATAAAACGTTTAAGTTACTGGGCACACAGTAGAATTTATTATGTGCTTCATTTCAGACTACATAAGGGTTTACAGATAAAAAAATAAATATTGTATGTAATGTTAAAACATAATAAATTGCATAATGTTCAAGCTGTGTAATGAATGTTCTAACTGCATAATGTTCAAGCTGTGTAATGAATGTTCTAACTGCATAATGTTCAAGCTGTGTAATGAATGTTCTAACTGCATAATGTTCAAACTGTGTAATGAATGTTCTAACTGCATAATGTTCAAGCTGTGTAATGAATGTTCTAACTGCATAATGTTCAAACTGTGTAATGAATGTTCTAACTGTATAATGTTCAAGCTGTGTAATGTTCAAGCATAACAAACTGTATAAACAAACCTTACATATGTTATAACATTGGTTTTGTTGGATTAAAAAACAAAATATCTACCAATGAATAACCATCAGAAGTTTTCAATAGCTTTTGAGAGTCTTTTGGTATTGACCAAGCAGAGCTGAGATTGCAATAAAATTTTGTGTTTTAAAAAATGAATGATTTTCCAGTCTTTTTTTCTCCCTGCAATTTGTAAATTCTCTAATACACACACAACTCATTTCCCACATAACCGGAGGAACTAGATTAAATCCCAGAGCTGGTGTTAATGTACAAGATAATCATCTTTTCATAGTTATTATACTAAAATTTAAATAATTTATAATATTTGATAAAAATGATTGTTAAATATCTTAAGAACCATGAAATTCCTCATTAAATATAATAAAATTTTTCGGTAATTTCTCAAAAAAAGAACAAAAAACACAATCTTAAAAATTATCTTCAAATGCAACCTTCTCATCCAGAGGATATAGTGAATTGTTAAGCTGCTCTCGTGTGCCTCGGTCCATTGATGTCACAGCTCGGCGGAGGTTTGTTTTTGGTCTGAGTGAGCTTAGGTCACAGGACATTGTGTGATTATCTGAAACAAAGATGTGAGATATCTGAAGATGGATTAACAGCATCAATTATTGTAGATGAACTATTTCGCATGACTCATTTACTGTTATTTTTCTATTTAAAGTTATAAATTTAAAGTTTACAAAGAATTAAATTTTTAGAGACTACCTTTGAATTCTTCACTGTACAAGAAATACAGACATTAAGAAAATGGTAGGTGACTTAATGCTTCAGTTACTTTAAATACTGGCTTTATTTATTTAATGTTAACAAATTTATGAGTCACAAATGCCCTTGCAAAGTCTAGTAAAGATTTATTAAAAATTTATTTGAATCTGTAACTTTTAGCAATTTAAACACTGGTTGTATTTACTTAACATACATGTTATTAACCATTTATTCAGCCACTGTTATAATAAGATATTAATTTATTGTCCTTAACTTTCATTTCATTCTATTTTCACCTTCCTACATGTATTGTTTTTCAATCTTAAGATCCTAGGAATGATAAATCAATTGTAAAGAATATATATATATTTTTAAAGGTATGTTTTTTTCATGAAGTGTACAGTTAAAATAGTAAAATGAAATGATTAATTGTTGTTTACTAATATAAAATTTATGAACAAAAAAACTCCCCCACTAAATCTAGAAAGAAAAAAAAAGAAGAAAAAGGGGGTAAATTTTCTATTGGGTGTAAATGAAAACAAGACTACACATTGTTACATTCTCTACATTGCAAATAGGTCTTCTTAAAAAAATTTCATTACAACTCAGAAATCTTAATTTTTTATTTTTTTTTACTCAACTTTATTGAAACCACGTTATGGTTATTGAAACCACGTTATCGTTATTGAAACCATGTTGTCGACGTTATTGAAACCATGTCATCGTAACAGAATTATAAACTTTTTTTTTTATATAGTAAAGTAACATATATTTAGTTTTGAAGTATTGGTTTGGGGTCACTTAAATTTTCTTTCATTAAATAGAAATTAAATGTGCAAAGCATTTAAATGCTTTTTTTTCCCAATGTTGCAAAATTTTCCTTAAGTAGATGAAATTTAATTTTAAATACAAATTTTGAACTTATATTTATTGTTTGACTGAAGCACTGGTAGGACTATAATGCCTACTGTTAACATTTCTCATATTGCGGATGGGACTATAAAGCCTATTGTTTACATTTCTCATAGGAAGATCCTAAATTCATGTAAAAATAAACTATCAGCCTAGGAGCAGGGTATGATTGAGATGTGTAGATGGCATCTCTATATCAAGGTGTTCAACTCAAGATTAGGCAAAGCTAACTTTCAATAAAGTAAATCTTGAATTTCCAGATTTTCCTTAACAAACTTTGTGAAGAATCCAGGCGTGAGCTTTCTATTAAATTATGTAATAAGCTATTTTTTGGTTATGAATAAATTTGTGTGTTTGAAAACGTGTAAATTAAAATGAATCAATTAAGTCTAGTACACACAATTTAAACAAATTTAACAAATATTTTCAGATTTATTGGCCTTAATAGATGTATATGATATTAAAGGTATGAGGTAGCAAAATTTTCTACATGAATAGAGGCCCAAAGTCAAGAGTAGGATGTAAAAACATCATGGATTTTTTTAAACGTAATGGCTTTTTTTTTTTTTTTATAAAATAATTTCACTTAGTTATGTTCCTTTTTCACTTTGTTTTTTAAATAAAAAATCTAAAACATTTGTTAATAATTTATCAGAAAAAAAGTTAGTGGATCCTTTTTTGTTTTTTGTTTAGCTAGACCTGGTCAAGTCTATAGATTTACTAAAACTACTTCAAAGCATATTAATATAAAAATTGCTAAATAAAAATTGAATTGTTCTTAAAATGTGCTAGATATTTATTGTAAAGAAATGTGCACTCATTTTTTTTTTTAAACTTACCAAAAATCCTGTTGGAAGTTTTACTAATGTTAATTACTAAAAATTGTACAAGATTACAAGTATCTATGTACAAGATTTTGCTAGAATATATGTACACATGTAAAGATATAGCTGAGAAGATTTGCTTGTAATCAAAATGTAAAATAAAAACGTTTACACATAAAAACTTCAAAGTTACCTCGATTAGAATTCACACCTATGAATGGAGGATACATTGGTTGAGAATAAATATATGAAAATAGTTTTGTATATTATTATTCTGAGGGAGTGGATTCCCCAGTGAAAGCACAATTAAAATGCACTGCCATCAAAATTACACAGAGATTAAAAGCATCTGGTTTAAAACAATATTTATGATTACTATGCTGTACAAGTTGGGTTGCGCTATTGCAATAAAAGGCATACTTTGTTAATTTATTTCCTATGTGAATTTTCATCATGAAACTCAAAACAATGAAAAATCCTGATGCAGATTTTTCAACTGATTGTTATTGAACCGCTAGAGCAGGGATCAGCAACCTACAGCACACATGCCAGACTTGGCACGCACAGCCATTATCATTGGCACACGGAAGACCAAAAAATTATTTATAAATGTCTAAACAAGTTATTGGCACGCTGAATAAATTATAATTCTTACTTTGCAAACTCTCACACCAAATGGTTGCTGACCCCTGTGTTAAGACTTGTGTGGAACATCTAGTTTTAAAAAATATACACTCCAATATAATTGTACAAAATATAAACTCTAATCAATGGGAATATAATAATAAGCCATTTCTTCAACACCGATTCCAGGCTATGTGTATGATTACGTCTAAAACGTGTACGAATATAATTGCTCCAATACCCTGAAAACCTTTGCTGCTAAAGTGTATCCATAGGTTAAAAATAGTCATAAATGCAACGTAGAATGGACCTAATTCTAAAATACTCTACTGAATTTAGTTACTAACTCTCTTATGATTCAATTACTTTAAAATAATGAAGATAAAAAAAGAGGAGTAATTTATTAATACCAGATAACCATCACCACAATACTAAGTGAATTCTGATAATGGTAGCTATTTCACTTTCTAATGGTTCAATTATATAACAAACAAAAAAATTTAATTTAAAAGCAAGAAAACAAATGAAACAAATGTGGGCATATTTAAATAACAGAAAGTGAGTAACTGAGTTCCTAAAACATAAAGCACCACCCTTGACCAAAAAAAAAGACTATTGTTTGTCCTGAACCTCCCCACTCTCCTGGTATAATGAACTGGTTAGCTTAGGGGAAAAGGCATGCACATGCATAATGTTATATTTGCTCAAAACAACAACAACAACAACAAAAGACAAGAAAATTATGAAATTGAAAGGAACATTGTAGGTCAGATTGAAACAATTTTTTTAGGTGAAAATGACAGGTCTTGTGATATCATTTACTGGAAAAAAAGTAGAGGTATTCCAAGAAGCTTCAATAGTAGCTTAAAAGAGATCAAATAATTCCTTTTTTTTTTCAGAAAAGAAAATAATCAAATCTGGATAGGCCAATAGGAGATAAAATGTCATTGTCTTTTATTTTTAATATTAATTAATTTTTTAAAGCCCCAAGTAAAAATAAAAAGTTGTTTTTTTTCCCTGTACCAGACCACTACAGTTGACAATCACTTGTCTGTGATAAATTTAAGTTATCTTTGTTGACAATCACTTCTCTGTAATAAATGTGTTATCTTTTTTGTCCTACAGCATGTCATCCTATGTAATAAAGACTGTTACTTAATGTTGCAAATTAATCCGGTAGCATCCCATGGATTTTATCATTTGTGCTGTGGTGATACAAGAGACTAACTTGACAGAAACACTGTTAAAGTTCTATTTTCTGTGATGAGACAAGACAGGACTGGGGCAAAGATTCTTACAATGAAACTTACATCAAGTCAACCAAAAATCAGAAAATTTTGATTGTAGATATTGATTTAACTGAAATCAAAGTTTCCAGTTCCAGGGATAAAGATTCTACACTGAGGGACTGAAGTGTTACACAAGAAAGAATCCCAGTTCAGTAATAAAAAAATAAATAAGTTTCATAGTAATCATGCCATTAGCCTCAGTTTCTGGTTGAACACAAAGCCCTCCTTATTGAATGTTACAGGTTTTGGTCTTAAAATCTTTGCTGTCAATTTACAGCAATGCTAGTATTCAGTCAGTACATCGCACGTACCAATTACAATGCTGTGAATCTGGATCAGCTTCAGTTATTAAATTTTGAGATTTATACTCTATAAAATTCTTAAGTTCTGCCGATCCTTGTTGTGACAGAATAATTTCTTTGTTTACTGTATATTGGGATTTTATGTCCACCGAACTAGCATAGCAGGGGGGATGGGGGGTGGTCGCTCTTAACTTTTCAGGATGGCAAGCATCATTGAACATGAAACAGTTGAAACCACATAGACGGTGTTTACAATACTAGCATGAGTTTACTTATATGTACACATATACATAAGTGATAATAGTGGTCTTATGTGTTCCTCACACTGAAACCAGTTAGTGGGAAAAAAAAAAGAAAAGAAATACAAGTAACTAAGACATCTGAGATAATTAGGGGCAATACCTGCTGATTTCAAACACCTGGAATACTGAAAGGCAGATGGGGGAAACACGTTGTTTAAATGGAGATGCAAATAACTGATTAATGTGCACTTTTAGGAATCCAGTTCTAACAATGGTTTATAAAATACTTGACATGATTCAAAAACTTAACTTTTCAAAAAGGGTTTGCTTTTGATTTCTGATATATTAACTTGGAGATTACTGGTAGCTTTGGTTTGATGCAAATAACAGGTGTAATTATAGCCCCTTTTTTGTTAAAGAAATTAAGGCCCATTTTTGTTAAAAAATTATAAAGATTTATTTTACTTTTCAACAAAAAACACCAACTGCCATGATTTTCAACTTGGACTAAAAAATAAGATTTGATAATCATTTTCCTGACTGCTGATAATAATAGACATCATTGATAAGTTTTAAAAAATTATAAGTTAACTATTATTTCTGTTATGAACAACAATAAATTAACTAGTTTAGAAAGGCCAAACTGCTATAACACTAAAAAAACAAACATTATACATGATGTTATACATGTCTAATTTTGGTGCAGAAAAAAGGTTAGTCTTAATTTGATATTGCCTCCTTCTTACCAGCTACAGAGTGGAATAATCCTGTAGTTCTGAATCAACTGACAGTAGGGATAACATGGAGCCTAACAGATCATAGACAATCAATTTAGACTTGAACTACACCACACACACACAAAAAATGTATACATCTAACATATCAAACAACTACCACTTGCAGTTAAATTAAAAGCACCTCAGCAACTGCATACTAAAACACAATAGAAATTCTCATCAATCTTGTTAGTAAAGGGTCCATGCTGACCATTCCCCGATTTATAGAGTTGGCACCTTTGTAGTGCCAAGTCCATTACGGTAAATGCAGGGGTGGGGTCAGGGGATGAGGGGGTGGGGGGTGTTGTGCCCAGCAATAATTAGTTCTCATATAGATTTGCAGGCAAATGCAGTTAGTGTGAATTAATTTATGTTGCACGTAAAGAAAATAATCTTGACCTAAATAGCTTTTTTGAGAATTCAGTACTGTTAGTGTTCATAAGATCATTCCAGTTGTATAATAACTCCATCCATTTCTTAGTAAATCAGGGGGGGGAGGGAATTATCACAAACATAAAAGTACAGTAACTGAAAAAAATATCAATTACTTTCTTTCCTAATTTAAAGCTTTGTGAAACTTTAAAATCAACAAAGTCATCACTTACTTGAAGACCTTTTCCTGTTTTCATACCGCACTGTTTTTGCCCTTCGTGCTAAAGTCTTTCTGGCCATTAAACCATTTCGAATAATCAAAGGGTTCTCAGAAGATATTTTTGCCTCTTCCGCAAGATCTTCAAAAAAATCTGTAGGATGTTATAAAAGCAACTTATATATTTAGCAGCTTATTGAACAGCAATTTCAAAAACATAATATTATGTTAAATACTTTGTAGCTTGATTTATCAGTTATCAATCAATCTTTTTAAAATGCAAATCAACCCTTCAATTTTTCCACATTCTGCCTGATTTTTTAAAATAAATTAGTAATCAAATCTAAGCATTTTTTTTTTTTTTTTTTTTTTAATTTATATATATATATATATATATATAAAATTGGGGTAAGGGGAGAGAATAAGCTTAAATTTAAAAACCCACTTTTCAACTTTTTCACATTTATTGTCATTTCCTCCTTAGCATCACTCTCTATTCGATGTGATTGTGAGGTTACTGCCAGGTCAATACAATTTAATGAACGCTCAGCTTCACGCAGTCTTTGCTCAGCAGACATTCTGGCTCTGATTTCTTCCTGGAAATAAGGAAAAAGGAGATTTTTAAAAAATAAATAAGTTAACAACTGAAACCAAATCATTCTTTTCCATTCCTTGAAACAGAATAAAGGATTTTTTTAAAAAACATAAGAAAAAATATGATAATTAAATTCATGTGCTTTTCTTTTTTATCTGAAAAAAGTTTCTTGTATTTTGTATATATTATCAAAGTTTAACCATAATTGAGACACACAATAATAATTAGTGTCTTCTAATGTTATTTGTATTGATCTAAAGCAAACAACTTTAAAGGTTTTTCTTCCTTTGGGAACCAGATTTAAAATGATTTATAAATATAATTCTTTCAAGATCAACTTTTTGTCCAACCTTCAACTCTTTCTCGGTCATGGCTTTCTGTGAGACCAGATCTTTGATGGTTGACTCCAATTCCTGGGCATGCTCTGAGATTGCCGACTTCTCTTCTTCAAGTTGGTCAAGTCGTTCCTTGTTGTCTCTTAATCTGTCATAATACACAACTTTAAAAATGTTCTAACAAATTTATTTGCGGAGCATAAAACTTCCAGAACATTTGATTTATTTATTTAATATGGTTAGCAAACAAGAATCAATTTAAACTCACGAACTGTTTAAAACAAATTTTGAACCTTGATGTCACTGCAGTTTCCTTATTAAAATTACATATATACTTGTAAACATCCCTACCACCACTTTCATCAAATTCAAAAACAGCTACCTTAAAAATACAATTTTCCTAATTTAACTGATGACATAATGCCTTTAGCTTAAAAAAAAAATATAACCCACTAAATTTTGCTGCTGATACAAAAGAAACTGAGGTGCTTACAGCATTTCAGCATGGACCCTTTCATCCTCTACTTGTTTTGTCAGGTTTTCAATCTCTTGCAGCTGACGCTGTAATCCTTCAGATCGCTGCGATAAAGACTGCTTTTCTTTGCTTAGGTTGGTTTGCTCCGCCATGCTACTCCGTAATTCCTCTAATATCCTTTGTTTGTCTTTATGCAGATTCTGTTCAAACCATGAGCATAATGTATGACACAAAAAAACTTAAATTTAAATAATTCTTTTTACTCTTTATACAATAACTTTGCCAAATTAATTTATTCTAGTTTTGGAGTGAGTTCATAAAATTATGGTGCCAACAAAAAACAAGCAATAATCTCAAAACTAAAACTAAAAAAAATGAAAGAAGAATTAAAATGTAAAATTAATAGCACATTCTAATGTTAATAAAATTTTACACTTTCCTCTAAAATGATAGTTTTTATAAAAATAAAATCATCGTTAATGAATAAAAATTCAACACCCTTCTGTCCTCATACTTCCTATCCACTGGAAGTAGAATGGTTTGTATTAATTTACAAGAGCAAATTATATGTTTAACATAATCTGAACAAACACAAAAAGGTGTTATACTATTCATCAGAATTATTGGCACTGAGTATATATGACCCAATTTTTTTGTTAATGTTAGACTAGCCCCAAAGCACAAAGTGGTTAAGAGTATATTTTTATCTTAGATTTTCTCCTTTTCCTAACATTAACTTTGTTTGTTTGTTTCTTTGTTTGTGCACTGACCAAATTTTGTAGGGGGGTAAGGGTACACATTTGTAACAGTGACTTAAAAAGATTTGCAAAACAACAGCAAATTAATGTTTTTAATTACATATCAATCGAATCCTATTGAAGGTTATTGCATTCAAATGATATTTACTTTTAAATTTCTGAACATATTAAATTGCAACAGTAGAAAGTGAAGTTGAATTACCTCCAACTGTTGCCTTTGCTGCTCCATAGATTTTGAGAGAGTAATCCTGTCATTCTCAAACTCCTGTGCCAGCTGGTTCGTCTCATCTAATTCTCTGTTGAATAAACAATGAATAATTTCAACAGTTGAAAAATCTTAGAGTGGACCTACTGCATGTTGTCAGTGTTTACTGAAAATAAATGTTGTTTAAAAACCAGTGCAGACTAAGTTTAAGATTATTTTGTTTAAAAGTTGGTTAGAAATGAAATTAAAAAACTGAAAAAAAAACAAAACTCAGTGACTCCGGTCAAATTAAATATTATCTCAACTTACTGCTTTATTCGTTCATACTCTTCTTTGATTTCTTTTGTGAAGGATTCAAGTTTTTCTTTTTCTTTTTCTAATTCTTGATTCATCTTCTCCAGTTCCTAAAGATATTATATACTTTGTTTTAGACTGAAATAAATCAAACTGATTTCTTGGTAAATAATTTTGAAATGTTTGTAAAGAGATACAACTTTCTCCATATGAGAGTCTAATTACAAAGCTTCAAGGGTGCTGCATCTATGTGGTTCCAAAATATGTGCAATGCAATATGTCAAAACAAAGTTTTCTTAATTGTTTGAACACAGCAGAGGAACTCTAGGAAGCATTATGTGATAAAGATTAATATTTGCAGCCCCACAGATCAGCCAGGCTGGCCACTCCAGAAGTACTAGTGTTGTATGCAAAGGTTGTATACCCTTACCTCAGTTCTCATTTTTTCTTCAGATAATGCTAAAACTTCAGATTGAAGGCGATCTGAGAAGGAAAAGTACAGTTGTTTTTTCCGAAATATATATATATATATAAATATAAATGCTGCTAAGAAATTAAAATCCACCAGTCCTTCCTCCAACATCTACCATTTTTTAAAACCCTGGGCTGATTGACAACCTACACAGTTTCCCACACAACATATGAACATCTTAATCTTTTATAATGAAGCAAACTATTCACACATTAAACAAAATTTGTTTAATACAATGTGTTTTCCATTCAATATTCAAGGCTCAGATAAACAAGACCTACCAATATAACCTTGCTTTTCTATTGCCATTTGAAGCCCTTGGTCTTCTAATCTTCTTATCATTTCATCTCCAAGCTGTGTATTTTTCCATGTTCTGTGTAAATTAAGAAATCAGAGAAAAAAAGTCTTGATGTTTCTATTCTAGAATAAATTAGATAAACAGAATTATAATTATATAAACAGAATAAATTATATAAAAAAAGAGTCCTTAATTTCCTTACAACATCATATGTGTGCCATGGAAAGTTGTAATGAATTCCACCATGATCTCACAAGTAATGTCTAGGGTATGCTAATCAGTGCCATTTGTGAAATCAATTTTCCTTGTTTGAGATCATACATGCTGCCAGTAACATAGGTTTGTTCAAAAGTAATATTTTTGAACTTCAATAATACTAAGGAAAAGTTTCTCTCTCCCCCCTCCCCCCCCCCCCACACACACATTATTTAATTAACAAGATAGGAATAAAAGAATTTTTTTTTTTTAAACTACATAAGCAAGCGAATATTAAACCTAAATTGATTCACTTAGTCTTACAGAAAGGTATACACTTCTTTATACAACAGGGAAAAGAAAAGTCTTGGTCAAAGGGCAATCATTCAAACACATGTAAGCCTAAAAATAGAATCCTTGCCAACAGTGAGCAGCATTATATAGCTGTGGGCAAACAGGGGCACTTGCCTGGTGCCAGGGGGATAACATTTGTCAGTGGCTGACAGGTAAGTGTATGAGATCAGATTTGCACAGGCTTCCATTCATTACTTACACACGTCTGGAGCGTTCTAGGATTTCCAGCCAGTGGTCCCTCTCATACTCACTCTCGGCGGCCAAGATAAGCTTTCCCTGGGGAACAAAATAAACTCAGGTTGCTATAACGATTAAGGGAAATAAGGAAAGGTGTCACAAGGGATGCTAGCCTATGTTTGCAATTAATATGATGAAACATGAATGGAATTTTTTTAGTTGAAAGCTCTTCTTTTAAAAACTTAAGTATAAATATTATGTCTATGTTGAAAAAGGTGCAATCTTTTTTTGCAAAAATAACTAAAAAAGGAAGCAGTTGATCTCAGTGTAAAACGTGCACACACAACAGTTAAATAATAATTTTTAAAGAAGAACTGACAATTTTAATGTCTGATAAAAAAGTTTTTAACGTAGTTTTAATATTTTCTGCATTATTAAAAATAAAAAGATGAGACAAATTTAGCACCATGGGGTATAATAAAAATAGGTTTGTTTTCTTATATACAGTATTTGTTTCATTCTAGTTTAACTGTTTCTTTTTTCAAGATGAGTACAACTGACGACAGGCATAACCATAGAAACTTCACTATTTTGTTAAGAAAAATATCATCCCAACTAATCGTCATTTTAATTTAAATGTATTTACTTGAATAACAGCAAATAGGGTCTATAAGATTACTGAGTAAAATTTCATTAACATATAATAGTAAGGGGTGTTTGTAAGGGTATATAGCAAAAGATTTAAATTAAATACTTATAATAGTAAGTGGGGTCAGTTATATTATATGGAGTAAAAGATATTTACAGTACAGCCTCATAAGATTATAGGAGGTGGCTATTCAAAATGAGCAACAAAAGTTACACTGATAAAAAAAAACCCATCAATAGAGCCCCACCACATCAACAGACACATTTAGATTACTCTCGGTAACTGTTCAGTCTCCCCACCTGTGCTTGTTAAACCAGCTTAGTAACAAATGCCTGGACCATGTTTGTTTTTCTAACACTGGCCTCCTCTAGCACCTTCCTATTTACTTTGATGGTAGGGGGCCCCCGGATTTTTTATTTTCTTTCTTAAATAGTCAATGTATTCTTCTAATGCAATGTAATTTATCTTCCTGTTACTGCCAAGTCTAACATTAATCTTTTTGGCTAGTGAATCCTTTTTAAGGGTAAATACCTTAGATTTTATATATATTTTTTTTCCACAGAATTGTTTACTGAAATATTTATAAATATATTCTAGGGCTTAAATGGGTGCAGTTTTTTTTTTTACACCGGGTCCGGGTATTATGAGAAAATACCAAGTAGGACCAAGTGTTAAAAAAAAGAGTGAACTTCTCATTTTCTATAACATATGCTGGCCATTAAACAATAGGTCCGACAAACAATCCTATAGTCAGTCCTACACGATACCTGTGGCTCTTTACTGATTAACATAATAATTACTTCAGAAAAAAAATAAACCTTTTCATGCTGCTTGATAGCTATTTTTTTTCACTAAGTACTATTAACATAAAACATGTTGAGTAGGGGGAGGACCAGTTGGAAAATGGAAGCAGCCTCATCACAAGCAATATATATATATATATACACACACACACACACATATATATTTGCCTTTTAAAAAAAACACATATTTGCCTTTTTTTAAATAAATCAATATTATTCATTCACTATATAATTAAAAGCAAACAGACCCCTTAAGGAAACAAAGCTTGAATTTTAACAATTAAAAATGTAAAAATGAAAAACTTGTGCACATTTTAAAGAAATCTTAACAGTTGTTTTTCTTTATAATTCATAAGGATATTAGTCAATGCATCAACTTTGCTATTTTGATTATCAATTCTCTAAATTATTTCAATTGCTAGAATAGATTTTTTCATATGCCAGAGTGATTATTCATATAAATTGAAGATCAAATTATTCTTAATAATCTCCATCCATTTTTATGTTCTCCCTTAAGTACCAATCTTAACGTATGACTTCACCCACTCAACAAATAATAAAGTAGCAACAAAGTCAAGTGTTACAACTCATTCATTCTTCACTGCCACATCCCATGTCAATAGCCCAGACACCTAACTGCCAACTAAGAGAAAGAAAAGCTAAAGGTACTCCACACCCTCCATGTTGACCTAAATTAACTACTATTTTTAGAACTAAAAATATTAAGTACATACTTAGCACATTTTTTTCATTCATTATTTTTTAAAGCTGTAATAAAACCAACTGTTTTTACTAAAAAGCAAATGCATTTGGCAAACTACCTTATGATGCAAGCTTTGCCACAAACAAAAATATAAAATTCACAATTTAATCACACTTTACAGTAAATTTATTGTGTAATTATTGACATAAGGAGTCATCTATTGCCATAGATTTTAAAAATTATTTATAAATTATAAGTGTTTGTTCTAATTACATTCAAAGAAAGCAAGATTGATTTAAGTATATTTAAGGTGATCTAAGACATAGCACCCTTGTGACCCTTATAAATAATGTTTGTTTTTTGTGTGGCATAGCAATGGCTTTTGGGTCAAAAATTTAAATGAAAAAAAAAGTTGGGGAGTGGGAGGGGGTTTAAAACTAAAAATTTAATCACATCATGTAGTAAATATTGAAATCTTAAGGAGTGTGGGGAGTTATTTGGGATGCTGTTGGGCATTTTTATTACAGGTAGAATATTACTTAAAATTTCTATCACTTCAGAAATAAATAACTAGTACCATGAATTACTTGCATTACCATGATTAATTATTTTAATATTTTAATATAGCTACTTGTTGAAATTATTTTTAAAAAGAAATTTATTCACCCCGATTTCCTGGCTCTCAATCTGAACACAAAAAGGCTGTTGTGGTTCTCTGCAAGATTTGAAGCTGCACTCACCCAAGGGTAGGACTCCCTGAAAGGAAAATAAGACGTGAAACAACAGAGGGAAATACAAATACTTAGTGTGAAAGCATTTATTATTCCAGCAATATAATTACCAATAATAAATACAAATTTGAAAACGCTGTCTAGGTCAAGGGTCCTCAAAACTTTTAAAACTGTTCATTGTCCCTCAGACACTGTTTGGGGCCACACACACCAGGTTGTTTGAAAAAGATATGATCAAATTCCTATGCACACTGCACATATATTATTTTTATTGGAAAAAAACAAAACAGTGGAAAAAATATCACATGAAGAACAATTTTAATCAAAATAAGCTTTTTAGTATTTCAATGGGAAGTATGGGTCTGCTTTTGGCAAATGAGATGGTCTGTGTCTGGTTCCATATTTGTCACTGTGAGTCGTAACAAGTGATGCAAGTGTGCATAAGTTAGTCTACACCTAGTTGGAGATTTCAGAAGTTTCATTTTGGACAGAGTCTGTTCACAGACATAGGTGATGCCAAAGACAATTGCCATTTTGAGTGCATGGCTTCTGAGCTTAACATATGTCTCAGAGGGGAGAGATGCAAAGTAATTATTATGGCTGTTTGACTTGAATGCGTCTTTCGGAGAGTTAAGGCAGTTACATCTGGTCAGTTGGATCAACAATTTCAATGGGCTACTGAAAAGCTGTATGTCCTGTTCATGGAGATGAAGCTCTTTGATTGAATCTAATTTTGAAACTTTTTTTTGCAACATTTTCAGGAGGTCCACACATTTTTTTTAGGGGAGATGGCAGAATTTTTCCTCCTTCACTTGTTTTAAAGATGAGGTCTGAACTTCCTTGAAATGCTTTCCATGTGTATGCATATCACAGATCAGCTTCCTGTTTCCTTGAAGTTGCACATTGAAAGGCAAAGTTGCCAACTGCACTCTTTGAGCTCTGGTACTTTCTTTGTTTTGTGAAAGCATGAAACAGAAACCAGTGTGGTGGTTGGTTTAAGATATCTTCACAGGCAACATTCACAGTGCATGAGCTCTAATGAAGTTAACACAAGATACAACAATTTTTATGACTAACACAACTTCAATGATTTACAACACACTTCTTGTTGGTGGGTTATGCAGGGTACAGTTAATGGATGCTTAACAGTTGTGTTGTCGGTCTATAGATTAATGAATGCATCCACTCCTTCCATAAACCCTACCATGCTAGGAATCCCATCAGTTGTTACACTGGCTAGTTTAGCCCATCAGTGGTTATACTGGCTAGTTTAGCCCATCAGTTGTTATACTGGCCTAGTTTAGCCCATCAGTTGTTACACTGCCTAGTGTAGCCCATCAGTGGTTATACTGGCTAGTTTAACCCATCAGTTGTTATACTGGCTAGTTTAGCCCATCAGTTGTTATACTGGCTAGTTTAACCCATCAGTTGTTATACTGGCTAGTTTAGCCCATCAGTTGTTATACTGGCTAGTTTAACCCATCAGTTGTTATACTGGCTAGTTTAGCCCATCAGTTGTTACATTGGCTAGTTTAGCCCATCAGTTGTTATACTGGCCTAGTTTAGCCAATCAGTTGTTATACTAGCCTATCTTAGCCCATCAGTTGTTATATACTGGCTAGTTTAAACCAGTAAAGCTCCAAATCAACATCTTTTTGGCAAACTTTGTCATAGAAATCCTCTCCTGTCATTCCGTTGATGCTTTTCAGTGCAAAAATCCCCTCTGTGACTCTGAAATGATCATTTGTCCGACAAATGAAAATTAGAAGTTGAGCAGCATTAATGAAATTCACTGCTTTCGTAGAATGACAATGAAAAATATCTGAGCACATCAAATGCAATGACAGCAGTCACTTGCACCATCATCTTGGCCTCTCCTTCCCCAACTATGACCTCAACCTGGGGGTTATGGCTACAGAGAGTATATGTGTTGTCTTTTTGTGTATACAACTTTTCATGGTTTGCAGTGCAGCACTGTTTTGGGTATATTCATGGGTACTCATGCAGCAGCAAGGCAGGCAGGGTAAGGACTCCTGATGGGCTGGATCTGGCGCCTAGGCTGTAGTTGGGGGACCCTGGTCTAGGTTATATAAGTAACCCTAGGATGATTCTGTTTGATCATTTACACAAAGTGTGACCATAAGGCATTTAATTTTTGAATTTGCTTTTTCTAAAATGAACATTGAGTTTAAAAATATGCAACCATTGTATTTATAAAATATGTGCAACTCAGATTTAATTATTATTTTCAACTGAATGATATGGGCTTAAAATTTTACTAATTAATTTATTTATGAAGAATTATGGTAAACTAGAAATATACCACCAAACAATGGCGGCAGCAATGCATGAACTTCCCATCTACTAAAGTTACTTGACTAAACATGCATTTCAATTAGTGCTAACTTCTCGGAACTTTATTTTAAGTGCCTATTGAAAACAGCAATACAGCCATACATAAATAACTAACGAATTATTATTTGTTATTGTTTTTGGGTGTAGTATCAACAAGCTGATGAAAATTATTGTAGATTACCTGATTCAGATATGTCCTAACTTCAAGATATTATGTGCATTAAATCTGGGTGCAAAGACATTGATTAAATAATTTTTATGAAAAAGAGCAAGAGATGGCAACCAGCAGGCCTTACATTTTCATGATCTTTTGATCTTGCAAACCCTTAATTTAATAGTAAAAACTTTGTTATTTTTTTGTTGTAATGAATAAATTATAAAGGGGACAAATAGATATTTAAATTTGATGCATATTTATGTATTACATGATGTAATGATGTTCAGTGTTATCATAAGTCAGAATAATTCTTACATTATTATCAAATCACAGGCCGCTCTTAGAAGTAACCCAGTTCTGAAACTAATTTCTAACTATCTTGCAGACTACTCTTGAAAGTTTTTACATTGATTTTTTTTTAATTGAACACTTTGATCCCTAAAAGTTTCTTCAGAAAATTTTTAGACTAAAGAAACAGTTTCAAGGTGGTCATAGTAGTGTCTATGTTTGATGTCTGCCAAATAAACCTGGTTAAAATTGCAATAAAATATTAGGATAGCAATCAGAGAGTTTACCTTTGGGTGAATATTAAAAAACTCCCGGCGTTCATAATCTTTTTTCTCATTGGCATCATAGTACATAAGAAAGCCATCCTTTACCAAGAAAAATCTGCAATAGCATTTTTTTTTAAAATAAGAGAAATCAAAGATATGTTAATTATCTGTAAAATAATCAAAATAGTTTCTACTATCGCTAAAAATTTGATTATTCAATTAATATTCAGAACAAATAAATTGAATGAATGGTAAAATAAGTTGATTGGCAACCAGTGGCGTAGCTAGGGAGGTGCAAGGGGTGCGGACCGCATTGTGTGACACCATCCCAGGGGGTGAACCCAAATTGAAAAATTGCATATTTACAGAGCACACAGTGCTCGATCTAACCAAATTTCACAAAAGGGTAACCGATCAAATGTAAATTTTCCACACATGTAACCAATCCAAAGGTATGCTTTATAAAAAGTTCGAGGTTGATGCGTCAAAATTGAGTGGACCCTACTATTGGGTCAGAAAAACACTTGACACAGTGGTGACCAACCTAGAGGTCTGAAGATTGTTTCTGCCCGAGAAGCGCTGTCACTTGGTGGAACATGCTTTTGAAAAGGCACTTCTAAAATCAGACCAATATGGAATTTCGGTAGAGAGAAGATTAAGATTTAAGAAAAGAATAGCAGGAGAAAATTTAATTGAACAGTAGGGAGATGAGGGAGTGTACTGATCACTTTCATTCTGAACTCCAGATCAAATCATCAGCGATCAAGGAATTAGAAGATATGTTTGGGGGTGTTAAACCAACTAGTCTACTATCAGCAAATGAAGAAGAGTTATTGGTGTCTGTTCTAAATTTTATGTTTTGAAATTCCTGAATTGGACTTCCTAGATCTCTTCCAATACTCTGCTAAGCCTTCAATTGTTGTTTACAATCTGTGTGTCTGTTGCTTCATGTGAGGGAAGCTTTACAAAAGTAAGGCTTATCAAGAACTATTTACGATCCACCATGGGACAGTCAAGGTTTCTGATCTGGCTCTACTATCAAGTGAAAACGATACGGTGAAGGATATTGAAAGTGATACAGTGAAAGGAAATTTTAAATAAAGTAAATTTAATGTAAAAATAGCTATAACTTAACACTGTTACAGTTCTTAAATACATTTACCTCCTGACCTTTAATTAATTTGTTTTTGTTCTTGTCTTTGTTATACATAATACTGTAGACTTATTTTATCAATAAGAAATGCATCATGTTAGTTGGAGGGGGGGAGGCACCATGAGTTTACTGCAACAGGTGACACCAGCCTTAGCTACACTACCGTTGACAACAATATCTCCTTATTTCTTAATGGAACACTATGTCTTCTTTAAAAAATATATATTACTATGTTTAATTGTAGAAGATATGTTTGGGGGTGTTAAACCCACTAGTCTACAAGTGTAAAAATTTAATTAATATAAAAAAATAAATAAAATTTTTAGAAATTTACATGGAAGTGAAAAGATAACCACAAGTTTACTTTTTTTTTTTGAGATGTATCCCTCTAATGCAGTTAGTAGTACTTATAATAATTAAATGATTTATTTGTTACAAAGTCAACAAACCTTTTTGACCATTTACTTGATTGATGAGCAAAAGGTTTCTTCAACAGGATACCATGAATCTGTATCCTTGTGGCCCAGTCCCTTGATGACGCACGACGGCCAATTTCAGGCATTTTATTGTTCATTGCTTGCGCAACACTACACTACTTTAGTATCAATTTTGCATAGAGTTTTTGTCATAACTAATAGAAGACCTGTGGCCTTCATTACACTGGTGTTTTTTAGGGCTTTATTTAGTTTACTTTGCAAGAAATATATAAGCTAATAATTTTGTTTGATAAGTTACTTTACTATGAATATGAAAGTATTATAAGTAGGTCCTTATTAGTACAACAAACTTTTAAAATGCAATATTATATATGATCAGTTTATCCAACTAAACCAACAAACAGAAATTATTGAAATAAATAATGTGAAACTGTTAAAAGACAGAAACAAAATCTTACTTTGATCTCAGGATTTTTTAAAAACTTTTTGCCTGTGCTTTTTAAATTTGAAATTGAAACATATTTTTAATTTAAAAAGTTTTTATCATATTAATGATGATAATGTCACATTGACATGTCCTTCTATTGGCTGAAAATAACTAACATAGAACTTATCATTTAAATCATTATCATTGAAAGTGATATTAAATTATTAGATTAATTTAATTCATTCCAAAGTTTCTAAGTCAAGTCCTACTGTTAGTACTATATTTGATATATATATATATGAAGTATGATAGTAAAAACTTGTAAAAATGTATTTATTACTTCCCCGTTTTTACTATACTAAAGTAAAAAACAGTAGGCCTAAATCATCTTCACAATAATCACTGAATCACTATCTGACTATCAGTCAAACACTTTGACAGAGTGAGTCAGTTCAGTAACTATTACTGACTTTACTTATTTACTTAGTAGTCACTTCAAATATGCTTTTTTTAATAACATAACTCAATACTCAGCTATTTTGAAAGTTATCTAAATATAGGGCCTATAAACAACAAATCAGTTGCATAACACTTTCCCTTACTTTGAGTCAAATACTAGTAGAATATAACTTCCGTGTGGATATCCAAGTTATGATCCAATGCCATTCTGACTTTCTTGCCTTTTCTTTTACTTGTTGATAGTTTCAATGACACTAGTCAGTAGATTAGGGGGAAGCAGGAAGTAAGCGTTACTGCCCCTGAAAAGTAATGTGGGGCGGGGTGCAAAGGTGGGCAGTTAGAGGTAACAAAAAACAAAAACAAAAAACAAAAAGATTCGTTCTTCATTTAGAAAAAGCTATTTTGATTCAATAAAGTAATAAGGATTTTACACTTTGGATGAGTGATTTTAACGTAATATTTTTAATACTTTGTTCATGTTTGAAATATTTGATAGGATTTTACCATTCATAATACTAATAAAATGTGATTATATGTCTAAACTATACTTATATGATGCATCGATTTCTAAATCTAAACGTATTCTGAATATTTTGTATAATTTACAATTGTAATTCAGATTTTCATTTTATCTTTTGTGTTATGACTCTATAAGTGGTGTGTGAAATTTGCCGAAGTGAAAAAAAAGCCCCCAAAGCCCAGCCCAAATGAAAATGTAAGTCGGATAGGAACACTTTTCATTTTTTTTGTCCAGGGCTGCTCCGTCTTGGCGGTCCACCAGTGGCTCTGACCAGTGTCTGTAACGGGTTACTTTTCTCTTCTAATTAAGTCTATACTAATAACTGGCCAACAAGCAAAGAAAACTGAATCATCACGCACAACCCCCCCCCCACCTTTTTCTTCCCAAGCAGTAATTGCCGATACCCAAAATGTATGTTCTAAAGAGGGCGTTTCTCTCATTTCAAGCCGACATAGTTGTTTCGATGAACGCTTGAGAGCTTGTCAGTGTCGTGCTTTGGGCTATACACACGTTGTAGT